TGTCACAGCAGGAATTGCATGGTTTCACAGCACTAGGCCTTGCAGTGTTTTTGACTCCCACAGCCCTTGCTGGTGGTGTCGTCACAGCAACACCCAAACCAGCGGGGCAGAGAGGAACACGCCCAAAGGTGGTTTCTGCCCTGTCATCTAGTGCAGTGAGTGGGCTTACAGAAGGTATCAAACAAGGCATGTGAAAAGGTTTAAATTGTTAATGTACAATTCAGAATATTTTAAGACCGATGTAGTTCTCTGTGGTTCAGTCAGAAGATACTTAGCGGATTTTTAGTGCCGTGCTACTTATTGTAATGGACTTTAAATTGGGACTTTTGATAACTTCTGTTTTCAGTAATATCAGAGATGTGCTGTTTGCTCTCTGAGTAACTTTTAACACTTCTTGGAGATTGTGAATAAAGGTGTTCTTCCCCCCAACTTCAAATTAAGCTTTTGATTTTTATTAAAATTGAGACTGGAGCCCTGTTTGTTCTTTTGACTGGATTTAGCCTATAAAGGTTTTCTTTTAACATAGAGTAGAAGTTAAACTAAACAAAATCTTGGGAATAAGCTGTTATGTTGAAAAGTGAGGGGGATGACTTGTCTCTTCAAAGCTATTTAAGAGTAATTGGACATCCATATCCCTTTACTATTCATGGAAGTTTGGCATCTAAATGGAGCAGACAGCTTTGAAAACCTGCCAAGTCTTTAACACTGTATGTTGTGATATTTTCTCTTTGTTTGGTAGAAGTGGGTAGTGAGATTTAAAAGAAAAAAATCTTGTTGGCATTTTGATGTGAAAATGCTGGATGGAAGTGCCTGGAGAGAGGAAGAAGAGACCAGCTCCTTCTGCCCCTGGTGTGAGATACAGCATGGTGCCTCCTTGGAGATCCTTTGGTATCCCCAGTGTCGCTAGGTGCACTGTGGAATTAACTGCTCACAAGTGTGATGGAAGCCAAAGATGTTTATCTGTCCAGATGAGAGCAGAAGCAGGCCAATTTCCTCTCTTACATATTTTATTTTGTCCTGGTAATCACGTTCCTTGCAATGGCACTTAAAAATGGGGCTGTGCTGCGCTCGGAACACTTGCATAGAAAGCAGCAACTGGTCCCAATCTCGAGGAGTCCAGAGAAGGGAATTGATACTGTTGGATGGGAGAGCTAGAGCTGATAATGACTGTAAATAGCAAGTTAGTTTTACATTTTCAGTTCATGCCTTTTGCTGGAGAATGGCTTGATAGGGGGTAAATGGAGAGGAAAATGGGGGTAGAGAGGGGACGTTGAAGGAATGGGTCCTTCGGTAGCAGAGCCACATGTTCTGGGACAGCAGCTTTATATGGCATTTGGCTCACTGTTGTTGCTGTAGCATCTATTCTTTCCTTTGTTGTTTTCCTCTATACCAGGTGGTTTGTCTACATAACTACAGAAGCAATTTCATTGCCATGATTCTAGGTGTGTGTAATTCAGAACTCCTTATGGTTCTTATTGAGTGTCTGTGCTTCCAAGTTGCTTGTTTCAATGCTTACAAGCCTTATTTAGGGATTTGTTTGGGGCTTTTGCAGAGAACCACCTTTCCTTATTATTTCTTCTTACTGAGTGTCTGTGCTTCCAAGTTGCTTGTTTTCAATGCTTACAAGCCTTCTTTAGGGATTTGTTTGGGGCTTTTGCAGAGAACCACCTTTCCTTATTATTTCTGAGTTATTGAGAGTATTTTCCTCCCTCTTATTTCCTTCCATTATTAACAGATATGCAGGGGTGCATTTTCTACTCTATTTTCCAGTATTTAAATAATCAGTACCATCCATTACCTTCTGGTCTCATTTGCTTAGTCAGTCCCCTTGAGTGCAGTTTATAACTTCCCAAACGCCAAGCAAGGCTGAAAAGTTCTATGGGCTACAGGATCCTTTTGTTTCTCGTGTCTCTTTTTGTATGCAAAGCATTCATACAAGGCTGGGTAGTGAATGGCTCTTTGTCCAGGAGCTGGTGAGAACAGAGCAGTGGAAGCCTGCAGAAACACTGTTCTTTACATCAGATGTATCATTAACTCCTCCTGACCCATATTTAATGACCTGTTGTTCATGCAGAGCTCTTGCTTTGAAAGATAGGCGGAGGTTTACATCTGGCAATATAACAAAGTGTTATATTCTTATCCAATTTTGTACAGAAAATTTGCCTGCTCTTTATTACTGTTACACATTTATGTTATAAGAATCAGCTTGTATCTCTCTAGTGGGATTTAAATGCAAATGCCGAATGTTCTGCAAATACATATTTTATATTTCATACAACACTGGGACAATGACACTGGGTCACCTCAATAAATTTTGCTCTGAGAATTAATGGCAAGTTTTGGAAAATGAAATCTTATCTAGCAGATGGCAGTGGAGAGTGAAATCGCTCCAGCAACAGGACAGGGGCAGCCATCATAGCATGTAATGTAGGTTCTGTCAGCAGCATGTCTCAATTCTGTCCCAGGCAATCTCTACTGAGGAGGCATCAGCACAGTTATCTAAATATCCCTCTTATGCTCTTTCTGTATCTTCTTGGTAAAATGTTATGTTACCCAGTGTCATAATGTTTGGAAATGCAGGACAATCTACAGGTCTGCAAGAGCAAATATTGAAACCAATAGAATTAAATTTAATGAAATTAGGCTCAACTTTACACTTAAGCTCAGCAAAGAGTTGGAAGCATTGTTCTTAAGGCTCTTCACCTGTATTCATTCCACCCTTGCAGTAAAGCAGTGGGAAGTATCTCCAATAGTTAATTGCATGCACTTTGAATTGCAAGTGCTATTAATGAGTGTTTAGGGTATGACTGAGAGCTGAGAGAGGCCAGGTAGGATTAAGTGATGAATCTGGGCATAGCCAAGAGTCGGAAAGAAGGTATCTACTAAAATTTACAGCTTTGGTAGTGCCAATTCCAATAAAAAAGAAGTACCGGCAGGGTGAGAAATTGCTTGGGAGAATATAGGAGAAAGCACAGAGGCCATTGATGCACCAAAAAAATTTCAGAGTAAGATCGATAGCCATTCTTGTGCCAAGCAGTGGTGGTTCCTCTGTGAATGCTTGTGTTGTGATTCACTGTGACCACTGAGGGATCGAGGTGTTATTCAGCATGTTTGGAAGCGGATTCCTATCCCACTGTCAGTTTAGCTAAGAATATTTTTTCTGTAGATGTTTGGATTAACTCTGTGAAATGGCAATGGCAAAATGAGTCATACTGTATGTACCTCTAAGGACCCTTTCTGTTAAGTCCTTAAAACCTGCACTCATACTTCTGCTGTCTTACAGGAACAGAATGACTGTTTCAGACTAACTGGGGATCTGGGCCCTTTAAAACATAAGTTCACAAGTTTCTATGCATGCGTTATGCCTTTTTTTTCTGAACAGATAAAATCCTGAGATTTCTCAAGTCTTCACCACTAATGTGGGAATTTAGGTTGAACAAGAGACAATGTATTGGTCAGACTAAGCTATTGGAGTCAAGCAGTTGTGATTTGTTCTCAGCTTTGTCACAGATATATGGTAACAACTGAAGCAGATAATTTTTTGTTATGTCTACCTGCAGTTTAGTTGGAGAGGCAAGATCTGGTTTTAAATGAGCTGTGTCAGGTAATTCAAGTGGTTTTAGCGCAGTATTCTCAAGGCTAAGTAAGCCCAAGATGACCTCATGACTGTGGCTATGCTGCTCCTATCAGAGGGATTACTTGTTTACCTTAATTGGTTTGGGTTTACTTTGTGGTGCAGTGGAATGTATGCAAACTGGTGATCTCTCTCTGCCTCAGATTCCCCATCCACCATGGAATTGTCCCGCATTAATCCCTTGTCCTAAGATTGTTGAAACTTAAGTTCATTATTGTAAAGTATTGTGGAGTTCTAAGATTGTGAACCATGGTAGGGTAGAATATCAATATGAGGGTGGTAGGTGGTGGTGCAAAAAACTTTTATTTACAACCAGATCTGGTGAGAGCAAGTTTGAATTCAGTTACATGTTGACTTTCTGTACAGACCTGGGATTCTTGCGTGTGAAGCCTTAGACTGATACTTCCACCTCTTCTTTTTGTCCTTTGAAACATTTTGGATGACTTTGTTAAGAGTTCTGCCATGAACCTCCTGGACAGAAACTGGCAGCCCGCTACATGTTCTCTCTCTGATGTTACTGGGATGTTGTAGCAGAAGCACTTAAAGATGCCCTTACTCTCCTCTGACTGTTCAGATTAATTTCAGGTGCCTGACACCATTAGTTGGGCACAGAATGTGTAAAATCAGCTTGCCTTATTCTGGACTGTGCGTAATTGTCCGCCTTCATTAAAGCTGGCTGTAAGGAACCATGAACTCCGTTATGGAGCTGTATATCTGCAAGAGTGGGCACTGCCATTGCAAATGAAGGGCATAATCCTGCCTTCAAGGCACATGCGCTGCCTGTGTAGGTGAGAGATTTTGCTTTGCACTTTTGGAGTGGTGCCCGTGGTTTCCTCTTTCCCAGTGGTAATTTTCACAGTGCCGTGGGCCCTTCCCACTCGTGACAACCGTGTCAGTAGTTTTGGCACAAGTGGGCACTTGTCACCTCGAAACCTTTGTGGGAAATCACTCTTGGAGTTAGAAGAAATGGCAACTACTAGAGAAAGAGAAGCTGCGTTGGAGGAAGTGGTTGTGTTGCAGCCTCATTGCGCCCTGGAATCTTGCTCTGGGAAAGGATGGAGTGCAAATGGGCAGAAGGGGTCTTGGAGCTGTGAGCAAAGGAAATGTTTTGGTTGATTCCTCCTGTGTGCAGGCTGCTTGACGTAAGGGAACAAATTCGGTTGGAAGAATCTGTCTGTCTCTTGAGGACTTTTTTCCTCCTAAGTGAAATAATCTTCAAGCTCCTTAATTTTGCCCAAGTGTTAGATTCCGTATTTGTAGTTTGAGCTTTTTAGTTGTTGATGAGACTTGTATATGAATTATGCTATTTAGGATTTTGCTTTTATTCAGTAGGAGTTCCTCTAAAGAGCCGTTTCATTTTTTTCAGGTGCGGAAACGCAGAGCCCTCAGGCTGTGAAGAAGATGTAAGCCAGGATTCCTCTGAATCCAAACCAGTACTGGGGACGTAAGTGTGTTTCTTCACTGTTCTTTTGCACAGCAAGCCCCAGTCAGGATTCGGTACTGGGGGAGGCTGTGGGCAGCATAGCTGTTGTTTCCTTTGAAGTTGCACACGCGCTGTTTGCTTGCTTAAAGAGGCTTGTGTAAAGGCCAAATATCAACAGTCTGGTCAGATATCCAGCCATATAACGCAGAGATCTTTCTGTCAGGGAAATTGTCTCAGAATTCAACCTGAGATGAACACATCTAGGCCAACAGTTAGTTGATTAAACAGAGGAGGAGTGTTTGCTTCCCCTGCTTTACCTCTGGTGGTAAATGGTTATGGCTTGTGACTGATTGCATTGTGCATAAGAGCAGTGTCTGCAGACCGAAGCTGGGGTTGTTTCAGGCAGCGTGTGTATGCGTGTATCTTTGCCACTAGTGCCCCTGTGATTTACAGTGTTGCTTTTCGAGTGAGATTTAAATTCCGAAATCATCCGCATTTGCAAGAAAAAGAGCAAAGGTGTTTTGAAGTGCAGTTAAAGGGGTAAAAAAGGCGTTTGCTTATCCTCCTAGCACCATATGAAAGTGCATTTTATCTGTAGACGTCGGGTGTAAAATGTGCCTTAGGTCATCAGCATTTGTTCTTTGACAGCGGTCTGATCTGTGGTTTGCATGCATTGTGGCAGTGAAGAGTAGCTGCAACGTTATATTTGATTATGGTATGAAGATGCTCTATTCTTGTCAGCGTTACTGAGGATTGTTTTTCTATGAATGTCTCAGCTTCCACCAGTTAAGAAGACCTTAATTTTTTTTATCAGTGCACTGACTTCTCAAGGCATAACTGAAGAAGAAGCCTTTAGCTTCCTTTTGTTTTGAGGTGGAAGAAAAATGTTGAACTCTTCTATCATGTCCACGTATCACACAGTCCAATCAAGACTGAGAAATACGCTGCACTGTTTTAATTCCCGAGATTCAGGCAGACTGTCGATTCAATTCTATTCTACAATACCGAGCATGGTCTTCCCGCTGCTTACCTCCATGCTTTTCTGTTGGCTTGTGTGTTGGGATTAGGGGGGTTTTGAGTCTGTCTTCAAAGGGTTCAAACATCCCCAGTCCAGAAATGTGCCATTAACATACTGAAGACCTTCCTGTCCTCCGTTGTCTGAATGGATTGGTTGGACAGTGAGGTCGCTTTGCCTTCCGTCTCTCATGCAGCGTAACCACCAGAGATAAATTGGTAAAAGCTCCTTGTCTGTGAGCATTTCGGTAGCTGTCTCTGACAAGAAGAGATGTAGAGCTTAATTAATGTCTGTAAATGACACGGGACTCTCCAAGGCTTTAGTTAGAAACAAATGTTATCATTTGTTAGTTTATTTTTTTTTAGCACTTAGCAAGGACCGCAAGCTAGAAGCTCTAATGATTTGGGCTGTTCCTCTTGCCCCATGAGACTCAACATGGGAGCTCAATTCTCTGATTTTTTTTTTTTTTTTTTTGTCCTGGCTGCTGTGACAGAGAGCTATCAGTATTTTCCTCCTGTTTTGCCATGAGAACTCATCAAAGAACAGCTGGTAGTTAAAAATTCATCACAAGCACCAAGAAGGCAGTGTTCTGTAATGGGTAGAGGCAGTAGTAGGCAGGCAGCAGGTTCCCACACTCCCATCCAAAACGAGCTGCAGGGTCTCTCCCAGCTTTGGGCAAACCATTTGACTTTCCCCTTTCGCAGTCAGTCCAGGCACAGAATATGAGCTAAAGCAGTACCCTTCCTGCCAAATAGATTAAGCATTTTTTACTGGGGATGAGGAGAATAATTTCACCAGTGTAAATCATGTTGGGATTAGTCCCCCAACTGCTGTGTCATGGACCCAAAGGAGATTGATTATGAGATGGAGAGAGAAGGATTGGAAGGATTGACATTAGTCAATCAGTCGGGTTTTGGGCAGAATGCATCAATTTTTTTTACACCTAGAGGTGAGCATGCAAGTGAGATAGTATTTAGTAGGAGCGTGTTGGTTTTATTGTTGTATGCATATTGTACAAATGGCTGGAGTCTGTGGTCCTATTCCTGTGGTAGCACAACTTCTGTTAAGTGTATCTGACATAATTTCATTAATACAGTCAACAGAGCTAATTGTGATACTTTGTCCCTCGTAAGATACCTTTCATGTCTGAATTTGATACCTGTTACTGAATTACTTATAGAAAGCTCAGCAGTGAAGTTGTCCACGAAGTAATTTGTCAGGTGTATGTGTTTTAACAGACCCTGTATAAATGTGAATTCACTTTCCTGCCTTAAGAATTTCCATTGCTGTCGGTTGCTTTGGCTGCTTGTCTCTTATATATGATTAATGGTGTCTGGAAAAGAGGTTGGCTTTGTAGTCCTGTTGTGAAACATGTAGTTCTAGTAGTTGAGGTTTTCTCTTGTCCGGGATAATTCCAATATAATTGCATTTGGCCTCTTTTCTCATAAAACAGGAACATGATATAATTGTGCTCTCAGTTTTGTATGACTTGGAGAACTAAATGGAAGAAGCATTAGAGCCATGTTATTTCTTACCATTAACTCTGTATTCCTCAGGGGAAAAATACCTCATGGGGAAGCCCAATGTCTGTGGCCAGAGATCTTCTGCATTCATTAGAGATTCTTCTTGTTCCAATGCTTTAAAAATCCGTTTGAGACATTAGAAGTGGGGATGCAATTTAAAGAGTTTCCACTGGTTTGACACACAAAAAATGCTGCAGAAGTTAAAAACAATTGCAGGATAAGAATTTATGACTGTAAATATCTCATGGAGCATTAAAGAAGGAGGTTTTTTTGCAAAGTCTTAGGTACCCATGGGAGGAATAGTGTTGTATGTGGTGTACTGTAAGCCCACAGGTTACTACTTTCTGTGTTGAAATTCCTTGTCCTTTTTGTACTTGTAGTAATACGTTATGATATATTTTGAGCAGGAAAATGCATGATGTACATAATTTTAAAAATTACTGTTATTTTAGCATTGCACTCAGTGTTTATGTATCTCAGAACCTGCAAGTCCCATGCCAGGGCTTGAGTGTGCTTGTGGCACAGCCTCACTTGAGAGACTTGTGGGAGCTATAAACCTACTCTTGTGTTTCCAAATTCTGGGTCTCAGCCAGCAGTTACTTCTCACACTTGTTGCAGTGACATGTGGTTGTTACTGACCCAAGATCACTTCAGCTATGTTCAGAAACATGCCTTCTAAGGATCCATTCTGCCAAGGGGATTTTCCCCATGTAACTTAAGCATCATTCTTGTCATTTTTTGGCTGCTGGAGTGGTCAGAAAAAATATATTTTTCAAAAGGGATTTGACTTAATTACATCTAATGCAAAATGTCTTTGGGGTTTTTTATTATTACTGCCCCTTTCTTTAAAACTGCATTCAGTAATACACAGTTTAAACAAAGGTATTGTAATTTTGTAACATTAAAAGTACACAGGCAGTTTGGACCTTAGAGCTATGAGTAAGCTCTGAACACCATTAAAAGTTTTGTGAACTTAAAAAAACCTGTCATGCATAACTCTAAGGGTTTTTTTGTTGGTTTGGGGTTTTTTTAGTATCAGAACCTGCCTTAGATTTTCATGTTCAGTAGCTGGTTTTCCAAAGTTCTCAAAGTCCAGAAAAGATCAGATATTCCAGTCAAATTTTGGAGTTAGATGGACTTCAGCCTGTGTTTCCAGAAATGTGATGGCATGCCTCTCTTAACTGTCAGATAAGAGAGTTGTAAGGAGTAACTTACTTGACCCTCTATCTACCCTAATAAGGAATTCGTTTTGCTCCTCCTTGCATCATATAAACAGGATTGCCTAGTGCTGTTTCTCAGTTCTGCATGCTTTTGTATTGAGGTGTGACAGAGTTGCCTTTTCATCTTAGGTCATCGTTGTCTTCAGAGTTCTCTATGTTCCCTACATGTTTTTTAGCTTAGGACTATTGTTGACTTTCAGAGAGAAAACAGTAGATATAACACACAAAGATGTGACAATTCACGAGAAAACCATACATACATTAGACACAATAAAAAATTATCAGCATGATGAGCAGCATTAAGAATTAGAGAGGCCCATATGGTAGTACACAGTACATGAACTGTAGAGAATTTGTGCTGTAATTCAGTTCCATCTTAGTTTTTAAGTGAGGTTGTATAGTTTAAATGTGTGGTTTGGTATGTGCAACCTGACAAAACGCAAATGAGAAAAGGAAGTATAGCAAAAAGAAATAGTTTCTTTTGCTTGTGTCTGATGTGAAGACTACATATCAGCCAGGAGTTATGGGAAATTAAATAAGATAGTCAGGTCCAAGAGATCTCAAGTATCTCTACATACTCTGGGAAGGGGATCAGCAAGCCAAGCAACTAATGCAGTTTGGGAACTTCAGTCCACCTGAAATGGTTGTGTGTATTGCCTATGAGATAGTTCGAAACAATGCTTTTGGTGATATGACCTGGTCACTGTGATCTCTATTCGGAGCAGGAAAGTTCCTCCGTTAACTTTCAACTCACTGTTAAGAGGCTGTTTTCTATGCAGAATGATCTGTGAAATAACTTGTGCCCCATTTCCCTCCTGCTACTGAAAGGTGGTGTTCCTTTTGATCTCTGGGCAATCCACTGCTACCAGACAACTATACCCAAACCCCAGGCTCCATGAATTTAAAAAGGTGATGTATTAAAGGAGAAGAATACTTCTTTCCCAGAAGTTAGGCATTAAAGACCTGGCTGCAGCTGGCTGAGACAGAGAAAGAACCATAAAACCTTTGAAGTATAAAATATCATAGCTACTTATATCTTTTGGAAGTCGATAGCTTTACTGGGTACTGAGATGCCTCTGAGTAACGTGAGGGTCCAAAACAGTGCCGAGACCATGTCACCAAGACAACTTGCTAGGCTTGAGAGACCTGGAGAGCTGATGCAGCACATCATGGAGAAAAGGTGCTGAGTAAAACTTGTTGCCACGAGTTTTGAAGATTTCTGTCAGTGAAGTTTCCAGAAGTGATTGATTCCTGTTCAGCACA